CTTATATTTACAGAGCCAGCAGGTTTGTTAAAGCCTTTGTTCAATCGTACAAAATCACCCCGCTGGAAAACAACCGCGCGGTGAGGAACTTTTGTTCCAATTCGACGAGCGAGCAACGAAGTTTTTAAATGAAAACACATCACATGGAATAAGGGAACTGTATTTCTGCTTAATTTCTTTTTCCTAATTGATTTTAAATTCCCATCGAGAGTGGGAATGTTGTTCGCTTTAATTGAAAAAGCAGGCGACGTTATTGCTCGAAATGGGAATTTCGACAGTTTAATAGTTGACTGCTGTAAAAATATGTTAGGAAGTTCCTAACTTCGTTTCCTTTTTTCTTCTCTCTTTTTTTTTTTTTTTTTTTCTTAAATAAAATTTCCAAACCAATTTTGCGACGATAAACTTAGTTCATTTATACTAGAGTTTATTAGCAATAGTTCATTATAAAGTTATGGAATGTTATTAATTAAATTCAACCAGAGTTAAAATTCAATAAAGAAGAGCTTAGATTCAATACAATACAGACAATGTGAAAGTAGAAAATTTAATAAAAAATTGTCCTATTAAACCTAATTGTAAAAAGAAATTATGGAAGAGGAGGGTCTGTCTGATATTTTTAAGTAAAAAATTAAGACGAAGAAAGAAACAGGGACGAAAAGTTCCGAAAGAGAATGGTTGCCAAATTGTTCCCTTAGAAACAAATTCAATAAAGGCAAACGGGATGGGCGAGGGGAGGGTACGGGGAATCCAGAACCGATTAGGGTGTCTTTGGTTGGAACTTCCAAACAGAATCACTGTAAGAAAGTTTCATTCGAAGTTCCTTCAAATAACGATTAAAGCATCAAAGGAAAGAGATAAAAGAGGAAAAAGCAACTCTTATCTACGGAAATTTGAGCGAACAAAGAAAAGGAGGATAGATGGTAAATCTAGGAACATCCTAACTTAAATAACGCTTACTCAATTCTTGACGAAAACTAAGTTAAAACACGAGAACTGGTTCTGGGGAATTTTTCTCACGCCGATACCACATCGGTTGCTTCATCGGATCACCTGTTTAACTAACTTTCAATCTGCAATTAATTTGTCGAAATGAGAACACGACAGTCGAAATTGGACAGAAGTATAAATGTCACCAACGGAAAAAGAAAAAAACCAGCACGAAATCCCCTGACGTCATACTTCCCCAAACAAGATTCCCACCAGTCCCTCGATACACTTACATCACACTTAGTTTCACGTTTCTCACAGTAGAGTTTCTCTAGTAAGTAACTAGGGAATTTTACTGGAACCAATTCTGGTCACTACTTTTACACAGTGACTTCCTCGGAGAATCTGCTTTTGTCATCCAGATTGATGACTATAGCATGCGTCCTCGCGTGGCCGGATTTGCTCTTGCCTTTGTCCCGTTCCCTAACCTCACTCTCTTTGTCGTCGTGTTTCGTTTCCGTTCCAATGTCCTCGGTGGCCGGCCTACCGGAAGTGGAGACCGCCACGTCATTGGTCCTCGTTGATTTCTTCACCTCGACGGAAACCAGAACCTCAGCTTCCTTCGAGGTGCCCTGGTCCTTGCTTCGAATCCCATTCTTCTCCACGCAGGCCTGACACCTCTTCTCCTCCTTGGACTCTCCACCTGGACACACGTTCGTTTGGACACGTGTCACGTGGTTTGTTTGGTGTTTTTTTTTTTTTTTTTTTTTTTTTTTTTTTTT